AAACAATGTTTACCCTGCATAACGAGGACTACAAATAAGACCAATGATATGACAGAAGTGATAAATAGAAAAACAACTCTAGTATTATTCATTTGTATTTTTGGATTTGCTTCTATTTTGATTGATTGATTGATTGATTGATTGATTATAATTTTGGATTTTTTTCTTCTGTTACATCGCCTTATTTATATTTGTATCAAAGGATGATTATAATCATGATTAAAATAATTCGTTATCAAAATATTATATACATTATCAGCATTATTATTATGGACATGATTTGGATCGGTTGATATATCGTCGTATAATAATATGGTTGCTGTTGTTGAATATGTTTTGGACATTTTTTTTCATTTCGATATTTCGATATTTTGATTATATGGAAATCTGTTTATAATAAAAAGAAGAAAGAAAATCAATTAATCAATGTTGCAAATGTGAATGGAAGGAATTTCTGTTTCGTTTGGTTTGAACCTGATTTCATTTAGTTCATCATCATCATCATACTTGAATGTGGAATGTGTGAAAAAAAGATAGGGGAAAAAAAGAAGGAATGACATTTAGTGATGGTGTTCAAATATGATTGAATGAATCCATTTTCAATAAGAATTATTATTATACTGGATTCTGAAACAAACAAACAAACAAACAGAGAATTCATACATTGATTGAATGTTTTGCAATGAATGACGAAATAAATGAATGATATGGTCGAGAGAGAAAAAAAATGTCTGTTTGGATGATAAATTTGGACAATTTCTGCTATACTGTAACAGAGAAGGAAAAAATCGTCTAAAATTATATTAGATCCAAAATAGATTATCTTTNTTGTTGGTGGGTATTTTCAAAAATCAAGAAAAATATTCCACGGTAATATGATATCCATCATCATCGTCCTGGAAAAAAAATTCTGATTTTCCAATGAAAAAAAAAATGATAGAAAATGAATGAACATCATCAACTAATCTCTCTACACAGTAGTGAAATGAGAAAAAAAAATTATTTAAATATCACATTGAAATTGAAATTTGTAATTTCCAAAAAGTTAGTTTACTTTTCTACCGCTATAATACAGGAAATTTTTCTTTTTTGATGTGGACCAAAAACGTTATTTTTGGATCATTTTTAATAATAATATTTTTTCAATAACGAAAATCAATTTCTTTTCTATTCTTTTCTTTCGTGTTTTTTCTACAACAACAAGGTTTCAAATTTTAATTTAACAATTCTTAGAATATAGAATTTTTCTGGTGATTCCTTGTTTGATAGAATCAAACAAAATGAAAAGAAGAAAAAAACACCGGAAAAACTTTTCATCCATGAACAATGTGTGCGTGTGTGTGTCTGGGTGATTGAACATGTTCACCGGGATTTTTTTTGTTTCCTCAGTTTTGTTCTCCGTCCGATCGATTCCTTAAAAACTTTTCAAACAATTGAAAATTGATCATCATTATTATTGTTGTTTGACTATGAGTTGATATTCCCGTTGGTACGATTCTATCGGTCCAACAACAACAACAACTTTCAATTCTGTCTCTGTCCAACCGAAATAAAGAAAGAATCACAACATTGAAAAAAATAAACGATTCATTAAATTAATTGATATAAAGATTAAATTACCAGCCAAAAAAAAATGTTGACTTTTATCATCTAACAGCAAATGTTAGATAAACAGAACAACCAGAATATTCCATTGTAATATGAAGATTATTCTCTTTTATGTTTGATTGGTTCATATCCCAGAAAATCGGTTTATATTACAAAAATAATAATACTTGTAAAGAGAATATTCTTGCATTATGTAATAATAACAACAAGAATAATAAAAGTATAATGATGATGATTATGATAGGAAATACATATATGTTTTTTTTCATATCTAAAAAACAAACAAACAGAATTACAGAATTGCGTAATTATCAGCATTGAAAACAATGATTATTATTATGATCATCAGTATTCTGATTTCCTTGAATTCCTTGGGATTTTCTATTTTTTGGTTTAGTTGTAATTCTTGTAATTTGTCTATACGATACACGGGAAAAAAACATGTATGGAATCAATGATGATGATGATGATGATAATTTTGCCAAATGAAGAAAATCTTTATAAGAAAAACCAAATATAAAGATGAAATCATGTGGAAATGGTAAAAAAGAAACAAGAATTTTTTTTTGCTATCACAGATTCCGGTGAATCTGTGGACTAAAGAAACCAAGAATAAGAATTCTGATGTGAATCAATAATAATGTCCATACTGCTAATGTCAATATTTTATTTGGGTTGTTTTCTTTTTCCATGTGGACAATTCTTATGAAAAGATTTAATCTTTTTTTTCTCTCTTTGGTTTGTTTTCTCTCATAGTTTTTTTCTTTAAAAAAGATTTAAAGAATCAAAGCCAGATGAGAAATAAATCTATAAACCAGAATCCAAGAATCAGAGATTGAAATCAAAGAAAAAAGAAGAAGAAAAAACTACAATTTAACGAGAAAATAAATTTTTTTAAAATAAATTCTGCTCTGGTTCTGTCATTTGGAATTCTCAATGGTGCCTATTCCATACACCTACGCACACACACACAAACAATCAAAATTCAGAAAACGAATTGGTTAAAATTCTTGTTTCGAACTGTAAAAAAGAAAAAAACATATTTGCAATTCAATGACACCCGAAAGTGAAAATTTTATTGACATTTTAATATTCTCGTTTTTTTTATTTTCTTTCGTTCGGAAGAATATTCTCTTATTCTTCTTTTTTTTTCTTCAATTCTGATGCTAATCATTTTGAATGATCAGAATATTGAACAACAACAACATCATCATCATAAATTCTGCAGAAGAATAATGAATCTGAAACAAATTTGACCTGTTTTCAGGAGAGAAAAGCGAAAAGCCAGTGTAGCCACTACACCAGTATTTTTTTCCTCGGCTTCTTTATTCGATCCACAAGAAGTCAATAAATCATATCATTGAATTTCAAAACAAAAACAAAAAAAAAATTTCGATTTTGAAAACAACAACAACACAAAGGTATTATATATTGGCGATTGGAGAATTTTTTTTTCGTTCAAAATTGCAAACAAAAAAAATAATAGAATTTGAACAAAGACAGAACATATATATAGACAGAATCGAAATACACAATGGACAAACAAAAAAAAAAAAAAAATACTGAAAATCGCATTTGGACATTATTTACGTTTTACGTTCTTGGTTTTTTCAGTTTTTCAAAACGAATATCTGATATTATTGTTATTATTGTTGCTATGGGAAAAAAAGTAAATACGTTTTTTACCCCATTGAATCAAACAACAAAAGAATTGGAAATTTTTTTTCTTTTCGTTTTTTTTGGCGAATTGAATTTGAATCAAATCTTTTTCTTTTTGAATTTTCAAACACATTTTTTCATTTCTTTTTTTCCTATACAGTTAAATGTCACCGGGTTTTTGTTTCCATGAATTTTTACAATTTTATTTTGCAATTGAACGACAACGACGACGAAAAATCAGGAAAAAAATCCATTTTAACCAAACGATGAGAGCAAAACAGTGTTGAATGATAAAAGTCAAGCAAAAATTGAAATTGAATTTTAAATAAATTTTTTCTCCAAAAGAAAAACTTTGTCACCACGGTAAGTTAAACTCTAACTGACTGACTGACTGCGTAAATTGTGTAAAATGAATTGAAAAATTGTACCATCCATTGGGCGTCATTATTGGGCGTCATTGCAGCAGCAGCAGCAGCAGTTAAACTTTTTGGTTGTTTGATTGTTCACAATTCAATTTCCCAAAAAGTCTATAATAATGTTGATTTAATTTTATATGAATTTTTTAAATGAAAGTCTTGGAACCGATGAACACAAACAAACACACACAGATGGTGTTTGTTGTCAATATAAATTATTATTATTATTAGAAGAAATTCAATTGGATTTTTTTTCCCGGAAAAATAAACTTTCAATATAATTTTTTTTCCATTGCCAGTTTTTTTTCCTCAATATAGACAGATTTTATTTGAA